ACACTGATAGAGTTAAAAGACTATTTTGCAAAAACATTTCCTTCTTTACATTATTGTTTCAATTGGGCAGTTAAAAGTGAATCCAAGGCATAGAAAACTCAGAAAAAAAGGAAAAACTGTTCTCCAAAAGACGTAAAATATGTGACTAAAAAGAAAGAGCATGGAACCACATTAGCAACTTGAGCAGGGCACGGCTAGCAAACTTTCCCCAACTAATCCAAATCATATATTTAGTATTCCTGTGAGGTTTCATAATCTTCTTTAAATAATCCTAAAATTCATCAGAATGAAAAGGCAAAATTGAATAGCTATTAAAAAAAAAACTAGAGTAATGAGAAGGTCTTGTTTCATATAATATTAAACAGTATCTTAAAGCTCTGCTCAAGATGCAAGGAAATAAGCCTGCAGAATCTGATGTGCAGTTCTGAGGAACAAGATAGATAAGGGGGGAAGAAAACTAATGGAAGAACTAAATATTCACAAAGATGGCATTTAAATCAACAAGGAAAGACAGGAAGCCATAATAAATAACGATGGGATGATCCATTGATTATTTTGGGAGGTGGTTTAGTTAGCTCTTTCACTGCTGTGACTAAAAGACCCAACCAGAACAATTTTAGAGGAGAAAAGTTTAGAGAAGGAAAAGAGATACTCAATCTATACTATCAACTCTTTCCTCTCCATTGATAGTATAGATTGATAGTATAGTTGATAATATAGTCTCAATCCACAGACAGCTCCATTCCTTAGGGCTTGAGGTGAAGCATAAAATCATGATGCAAGAGTATAGTACAGGGAAGCACCATGCATGATGCTCAGGAAGCAAAGTGAGACTCCACTTGCCAGATACAAAATATATACCCCAAAGCCACGCCCCTAATGCTCCATCTCCTCCAGCCACTCCCCACCTGCCTTCCGTTACCACTCAATCCTATCCCGTGATTTATTCATTGTTTCCGTTAAGGCTCTCATAACCCAACCATTTCTCCTCTGAACTTTCTTACATTGTCTCACATGTGAGCAGAGAGAAATTCCACTTGCCAGATTCAAAATATATACTGCAAAGGCCCCGCCCTAATGCTCCATCTCCTCCAGCCACTCCCCACCTGCCTTCCGTTACCACTCAATCCTATCCCGTGATTAATTCATTGTTTCCGTTAAGGCTCTCATAACCCAACCATTTCTCCTCTGAACTTTCTTACATTGTCTCACATGTGAGCTTTTTAGGGGACACCTCACATTCAAACCATATGAGAGAAATTGAACATAGGTGCTCTATAAAACTTTAAAACTCCAGTATATTAATAAACACTATACAAAATTTAAGGATAAACTTCAGATGGGGAGAATTTTATAACAAATGTGCTACATATTCATTAGTTTTGATATAGTACAAGCCAATGAAGAAACCACTATTATCTCCCAGTGGACAAAATAAAGATAACATTAATGTTTTAAAAATATTAAATACATAAATAGCCAATAAAATCTATAAAAGAAGGTTCAACATCTATACTAATTGAGAAAGTATAGATAAAAAAGAGTAAATCATTCTTGTTTCAATTGACGAAAGTGACAAGCTTCTCTAGTTGTTGTTTTTTTTCATTGTAATAATTTTGACAGTTTTAGGACAGGAGTCTTTTCATTGCTGATGAAAGAAAAAAATCATGAAAATGTTCTGGGGCCAACTTGAAAGCATATATTGAAAGTCTTAAAAATGTGTGTTCCTTTTGATCCGAGAATAATAGTACAGGTTGAGCATCTCTAATCTGAAAATCCAGGCAACCCCAAAATCCAAAACTTTTTGAGCGTTTTGTGATGCCACAAGTGATAGATTCTGATGGGTT